AAGGCAGTGCTTGAAGATGGGACCTCCTTGGCGGTTCGAAGGATTGGTGAGAATAGTGTGGATCGCTTCAGGGATTTCGAGACCCAGGTTCGAGTCATTGCTAAACTGGTGCACCCCAATTTGGTCAGGATTCGTGGGTTCTATTGGGGAGTGGATGAAAAGCTTATTATCTATGATTTTGTACCAAATGGCAGCCTCGCCAACGCTCGTTACAGTGAGTCCTTTTCGTTTCATCCTTTTTTCTTCCCTTGTTTCCCTTTCTTCTTCCAATTTTCCACACTTACCAAGTGAAACGAATGCGCACATTAGCAAAAATAGCATTGGGTATTTGTTAAATTGCGCTGCAGAACTGAAGTCATGACGGTGGAGTAGGTGTAACTGAAACCTTGTTGTTTAATGTATGGAGAGTCAACTGTCAGGGGAAGGGTTCGTTTTTGCTAATTTCCAATCGTTTACGCCACGGCGTTGACAGCGATTTGCGTTCTCATAATTACAAAACAGCTCACTTCCTACTGAAAACGACTCATCTTTGTTATCTTAGTGGCTTATCCTTGCGTTTGCACTTTGCAGGCTTAACACCAAATTAAGTTTTGGCTTTTGTTCCAATTTCTTTTTCAGGAAAAGTAGGCTCTTCACCTTGTCATCTTCCCTGGGAGGCTCGGCTAAAGATTGCTAAAGGTGTAGCCCGTGGGCTAGTATATCTCCATGAGAAGAAGCATGTGCATGCCAATTTGAAGCCCAGCAATATCCTGTTAGGCTCTGACATGGAACCAAAGATCGGAGATTTTGGGCTCGAAAAGCTGGTAACAGGTGACACCAGTTCTAAAGTTGGAGTGTCTGCTCGAAATTTTGGTAGCAAGAGGTCAACGGCATCAAGAGATAGCTTCCAAGATCTAGCAGGACCCAGCCCAAGTCCAAGCCCGAGCTCGTTTGGTGTCTCGCCTTACCACGCCCCGGAGTCACTTAGGAGCCTCAAGCCCAATCCAAAGTGGGATGTGTATGCATTTGGGGTGATTTTGCTTGAGCTTCTAACAGGGAAAGTTATAGTTGTGGATGAGTTGGGACAGGGAAATGGGATTGTGGTTGAAGATAAAAACAAGGCAATGAGGATGGCTGATACAGTAATTCGTGCTGATTTTGAGGGCAAAGAGGATGCCTTACTGGCTTGCTTCAAGTTAGGGTACAATTGTGCATCTCCAATCCCACAAAAGAGACCTCCAATGAAAGAAGCCTTACAAATTCTTGAGAAAATCCCATCTTCAACTTCATCTTCATCACACAATTATGCATATTGATAAACATTGGACAAAAATTGGAGACTACCTTTTTAGAGAGAAGTGTATGTAATGATTGATTAATAGGTTTTCTTTTCTTCTAACTTTTGTTCAAAGTTTGTGTTGAGTTGGAAATTGCATAACATCATGGGTTGGATCATCTTTGTGTGACACTAATATTTATTGCTAATTTTTAAAGACTTTCACATGTTTTTTTACTTTTTTTGGTTTCAAATATTCAGCCTCAATAAAAGAAGAAAAACAACTTGAACAATATGGCATTCAAACGTTGTGTCATAACATATAGATCTATAAATCTATAGTTAGATTTAACAAATGGAGTGGCCACTAATTTTTTTTATTTAGGTGTGATTGGTCACCTAATAAATTTATTCTCTTAAGGAGCTCTGAAGCTTAACGAAGGGTCTCTAAAAGAATAAGTTTGGGTCTACTAACCAAAATAAGGTTCGAAAGTTTAGTTACATGTGAGGAAGGTTATAGCACCCCCACATGCCCATCTGAATGATGGTACCATATTATTTTAAATTTATCCTAAGGTCTTGATTCTAATGGTTTCAAATTTTTATGTTGAAATATTGAAAATAATTTTAAAGATTCTTTCATCAATCTGGTAGAATTCTAAAAACTATTTTTTCACCTCATAAGTATTCAAGGATCCCATGTGTTTCCTTGAAGAAACTCCATCATAGGAAAAAGGTTTATTTACTATTCTTTTTTTTCAAAAATATATCTAATTATTTCATCATTTGGGTCAAATTAGAAAAAAATTTTTGAATTTCTAAATTTTCTACCATTTTGACCTATTTAGAAAATTTTTTTCCCTTTTTTTCTTTTTTTTTTTTGGAAGGAAAATAATATGACAATTATTTTTATTGAAATTTCATTTAAATTCTTCCACCATTTAGGATAAATTTTAAAAAAAATTTCACCTAGAGATTTCTTAAAAAAATTACCATTTAAAAATTTTAAGAATCTCATCATTAGATAATTATCAAATATTTTCAACTAAATTTGGAAAAGAATACAATTACTTTTACTTAAATTTCATTCAAATTCTTCCATCATTTGGGAAAAATTTAAAGAAATTTCTCACCTAGAGATTTCTTAGAAAATTACCATTTGAAATTTTTAAGAATCTCATCATTGAGTAATTTGTATTTAATTCCAAAACTTTTTTTATTAATTTTTTATTTTTTTGTTTGAAAATAAGTATTAATTATTGTTATTAAAATTTTATCTAAATTGTTCTACCATTTGAGACAAATTTAAAAAAAATTTCTCACCTAAAAATTTTATAGAAATTTACCATTAAAATTTCTATAAATTTCATCATTGGATAATTATTATTTATTCTAAAATATATTTTATATATTTTTATATTTTTTATTAAATTTAATCATGCAAAAATCCTAAAAAAATAAACACATAAATAAATAAATAAAATAATAAAAATACCTTTAAAAATACCAAAAACAAAATAGCTTGGCTAGAACGGCTTGAAATAGCTCGATTATAAACACACAAAGAGGCTGGAACGACGCGACTAAGGGCATGGCTCGTGACTTGGCTTGGTTGGAGTCAAAAGTTGGAGATGGGTCAAAAGCGGGTCAACGCTTCATTTTTTTACCCCCTATCATATTGGATTTTTTTTCAAAAGAATGCAAGAATCTTTTATACACATTGTCATTCATTCATCATCATTTTAAATCATGACAAATATAATGCAATCACACATTCTTTTCATTTACTTTGGGGATAAGAAAGTATAAGGTGAATTGAGATAAATGTAATCAATAAAAAGTGAGTCTGGTACAAAATAAATGGGCAAAAGAACAAATTCAAATCATATCATTAGGAATGGTATTAAATGGTATCTTAATGTCCAAATAATGAATACTTAGACAATTCACAATATTAATCTAAAATTCATTTTCAAAAACTCATTCCATTAACTTTTGAGATCAATTTTAAGCTCATTGAACTTTACCCCAGCTTTGAGGGATCTTCAAATGTCTTGATCTTTCATACATGTGAACTGTCTATCCAACTCTCAACTCAAAGATTTTTTACCCAAATTGCCCTTTCAGGTTTTGAATTTGACTATTCATTTTCTCTCTTTTATCATCTTTTTTTTTTCATTTTTTCTTTTTTCATTTTTTTCCATCCATTAGCGATATCAATCTCTAAAACAATGTAGTATAATTTTGTTGTTTCATACAAGCATGCCTTAGCTCAACATATGATCATTCAATTCGAGTATTCACACCTAATCCAAATGAATTTTTAAAAGTTGTAATGTAGGTCATGGTGAGGGGTCATAAAAGAAATAGATAAAATAGGCTCAAAACATATGTTTAAAAGGTTCAAAACCAAAGGATCATTTCTCATTATTTAATGTAACTTGACATTTTGCTCAACATCATTTCATTATTTTTTCCTTTTTCATTCACATTTCTCACAAAAAGTCTCTCATTACTTTACCCCAAATCATGTATGACATTCATTTTTTTTTTATTTTGCTTTTCTTTCTTTTTTTTCTTTCTATCTTTGAGACCTTTTATGATCTTTTGTCTCTTTTTTTTTTTTTAAATTACCCTCAATGTAGAGGGTGATTCTTGGTCAGGGTTTGTTAGAAAAAAAATCATAATATGCTCAAAGGGATAGCAATGAATGATTTTTTAAATGGTAAAAGAAAGATGATCATTTTTCATCTTAAATATGAATGCTTTCATTGAAGATCATTTATTGAACAAAAATAAGCTCATGTATCTTTATAAATTATTACATATCTTCAAGACATATCTATTTTATCTCTGTTAGCAGCTTGCTTCCTATGCTTAAATGGTCTTCATAGATCAATGTAAATGAGTTTTTAAAATTAAATCTTAGAATTATTATTATCATTGTCTAAACATTCACCATTTGAAATTTGAGAATAGGAATAAAAAAAGATAAAAAATAACAAAGCATGAAACAATGGTTGAATGAAAGATAAAATGTAATGAAATGCATCAACTTGTCTTTTATTGAAATGATAACAAATGAAATCCTATTGCATAAAAGAAATCCTAACATTACTCTAAAAAAAATCTTAAAATAACAAACAACTTCCAATCAGCCTTAACATCTTTTTTCTTTTCAAAATTTATGCCCTCATACGATCTAGTGAATGATTATTCTTAACATCTAGCTCCCTGATTCATTGCAGCTCTACAGGCCTTATCGGATCAATGTGTTCTTGATTCTCACTTAAAGTATTGATATTGTGATTAGGTAATGGCTTAACTACTAACGATTAGATTGTTTGGTTGCTCCCTCTTGATCAATATTTATCAACTTGACATCCCTTGATCAACCATTGCACCTTATGCTTTAGAGTATTGTAATTTTCAGTAGAATGGCCAACAATTCTATAATGGTAACTCACAGTGGGTTGTAGGATCATACCATTTGGGATATGGTAGCTTGAGTGGTTCTAAATAGCTAAAGGCAATCAAGTGGTTGTTGTAGAGCACTTGGTATAACTCGATAAGTCATGAGAATTGGATCAAATATGAGCTTTTTTTCGAGTAGTTTATTGCTCTCGTGAACCACTTGTTGGGTTCACATGATGAATCTGAGATTTTATAAGTGGTTGAATGTTAAGGCTGTATATGAAAGACTGAGGGCTAAAAATGAGTTGGTATGTTGATGGATAAAATAGCAATGGGGCTAGCTGGTATGGCCAGGATAAGGTATTATTCACAACAGGATAGTATAGAAAGTAATCTTATGATGGATAAGGTTGATAACCTCTGAACTGTCTATCAAAGCTCACGACTTGAGTTTCAACCTTTTTCTTCTCTTATGCCTCCTGGTTTCCCATCTTTTCAACTTACCATTTTTAATGACATTCATAATGATTTTGTTTGAGATCACCATATAAGCAAAATTTTTTGTTACATTCCCTATCATCTTTTCATAATAAAAAGATTTCAAAGTGCTGACAAATAATATCATAGTCTCTTTCTCAGTCATAGGAGGTTGCACTTGAGAAACAATATCCCTTTACCTCTAGGTATACTCTTTAAATGATTCAGTCACTTTTTTTTTCATATTTTGTAAAGAAAAGTGATCTAAGGCTAAGTCTATGATATGTCAATACTGACTAATGAAGTCATGAGCCATATCACTCCAAGATCAAATATGGGTCATATCCAACTAGATATATCATTTTACAGTAAAACTTGTAAGGCTATCTTGGAATACATGCATCAATAACTTCTCATTATTAGCATGGGCAGCCATTTTTTGACAGTACATAGTAATGTGAGTTTTTGGACACTTTGTATCATCATACTTCTCAAACTCTGACACTTTGAATTTTGAAGGAATAATCATATCAGGGACCAGACAGAGAGTCCAGCAGCATCCACTGAACCATAAAAATTAATTTCTTTCACTGCTCTCAACCTTTCCTCTAGTAAGTTCATCTTCTGTTCAACTTTTGAGGCTTTTAAAGTCTTTTTTTTTTAGGTTTTAGCTTTTTTTTCTCTTCTAAATCATCTAAATTAGGGATTAGTATTAGTTTTAGTGCTTTCTCGATAAAGATAAAATTTACATAACTTTGATACTATCTTAGATTTAAAACTAATGGCATTTCAAGATATGTGTACCCTATAAGATAGGTAAACTACTATGGTGGTAGACTTTATGCGGGTTAAGGTTGATGTAACGTAAAATTAAGAGGGTACAATGGGTCATCCATCTTTTGTGATGGATAGTCTTGTTGGCTAGTACTTTCTTCTATACCTTTTCCCTTGTTTAACTTGTTCAAAGCCTCTAAAATCTTATTCAACTCCCATTCTAACTTTTCTTGGGCTTTCTCTATTCTCTCAAGATAATTAAAGTTTTCTTGTTCCATCTGTCTAGCTTGAGCTCTTGTATGGTATTGATGAGTTGAGTGTGTGAGATTCTTTGTTGGTAAAGCTATTCTTTAACCTTAAATACCATAATTATAATAAAAAATGTTATACTTTATGCATGATATGTTGATGCATAAATGAAATGTACATTTTCATGGATGAAATCTAATATGATGCAAATGCACAATATTACATATGACAATGAAAATGATGCATGACATGCAAATGCACAAAGTCAAACAATCAAAATGGTTAAATAAACACAAATTATTCCTTATCATGTCCTAGTTTCGGGGTATATCTATCACTTGGTAGGAAATGCTCTATCTTAGGGCTAGCCTCTTAAGTGTACATTATATGTAAGGTTAAGTAATTTTGACCACTAAAGGTTCTCAAATTGTTCTTTACATCATTGTCCATCATAGACTAGTAAAGTAGACCAATCTTTACCCATCACAGGCTACTAACGAAAATGATTCAATTTGAGTGAGAGTATTTTGCTAGCCATTATGAAGATTATCATCTCACAAAAGCGTAAGTACTTTACTCCTTCTTAAGAGGAAAAAAGCTTGGATATAAAACTCATGTAATACAAATGCATGTGATAGTGTGTGTGAAGGAACATATAAGTTTCATGTCCCAAAAAATAAAAGACAAAAAAGATAAAAATGTTAGTAAACAAATAACATAAATCATTACAATTTAAAACCATTAGACCCAAGAATAGGATAAATTCAAAATTATGGCTTGACTCTCTATGACTGTCTTCAGTGGAGTCATCAAACTGTTATAACAAATAGATCCATAAATCTATAGCTAGACTTAACAAATGGAGTCGTCACTAATCTTTTTTATCTAAGTGTGATTGTCACTTAAGAAACTTATCCTCTTAAAAAGCTCTTAAGCTTGACGAAAGCTTCCTAAAAGAATCGGTTTGGGTCTACTAACTAAAACAGGGTTCAAGAGTTTAGTTACATGTGGGGAAGGTTATAGCACCCCCCCACATGCCCATCCGAAGGATGGTACCATATTATTTTAAATTTATCCTAAGGTCTTAATTCTAATGATTTCAAATTTTTATGTTCAAATATTGAAAATAATTCTTAAGATTTTTTCATCAATCTGGTAGAATTCTCAAAAATATTTTTTTACCTCATGAGTATTCAAGAATCTCATTTGTTTCCTTAAAGAAACTCCGTCGTAGGAAAAATGTTTATTCATTATTCTTTTTTTTAAAAATATATCTAATTGTTTCACTATTTGGGCCAAATTAAAAATATTTTTCTTTTTTGAATTTTTAAATTATCCACCATTTGGGCTTATTTAGAATTTTTTATTTTTTCCCTTTTTTTTTTTGGAAAGAAAATAATATGATAATTATTTTTATTGAAATTTCATTTAAATTTTTTCACCATTTGGGACAAATTTAAAGAAATTTCTTACCTATAAATTTTTTAGAAAAATTATCATTTGAAATTTTTAAGAATCTCATCATTAGATAATTATCAAATATTTTCAACCAAATTTGAAAAAGAATACAATTACTTTTATTGAAATTTTATTTAAATTCTTTCACTATTTGGGACAAATTTAAAGAAATTTCTTACCTAGAGATTTCTTAAAAAATTACCATTTGAAATTTCTAAGAATCCCATCCTTGGGTATTTGTATTTAATTCCAAAACTTTTTTTATTAATTTTTTATTTTTTATTTTTCTTTTTTTGTTTGAAAATAAATATTAATTAATATTATTGAAATTTTATCTAAATTATTCCACAATTTGAAACAAATTTAGAAAAAATTTCTCACTTAGGAATTTTATAGAAATTTATCATTTGAAATTTTTATAAATTTCATCATTAGATAATTATTATTTATTCTAAAAAAATTATATATATTATATTTTTTATTAAATTTAATTATGCAAAAATACTAAAAAAATAAACACATAAATAAATAAAATACTAAAAAAACCTTAAAAAAATACCAAAAACAAAATAGCTCGACTGAAACGGCTCAGAACGGCTTAGTGCAGACATAGAAAAAGGTTAGAACGGCGTGGCTCGAGGGCACAACTCGTGACTCAGCTCAGCTGGAGTCAAAAGTGGGTCAACGCTTCAGGTCGGGTCACCCAAATAAAAAACGTCCAGATTCTAAATCTTCTTAAATGCCAAAACGGTGTCGTTTTGGTAAGGCTATAAAAGCCTAAGTTTCAGCATTTTCCCTCAGATTTCTCATTCCCTCTCTCTCTCTTCTCCATTTTTCTCTCCCTCTCTCTTTAGAAACTGAAAAACTTCGATTGAATCTTTATCAGATTCTGAGTAGGTTCGTCGGACGTTCATCGAAAAATCAACTGGTGCCAAAATTTGTAATCGGATTATGAGAAGCCTGTTAGAAAATTCAACCGACATCGAAAAATTCATCGAAAATTGAAAATTTTCTTCGAAATCTGAAAATTTTTCAATTTTTTTCAAAAAAATTCTTTTTTTTTTCCTAAACACCATAAAAGTCTTCGAAAAAAAATTTTTTATTGCTTTCTGCTTGCTGTGTTTCTCTTTTTTTTTGTGTTTCTATGTGATCTTTTTTGTGTGCTTTTGATCTCTGTGGGAGCATCTATTTATAGGGTTCTGATTTAAAACCTTATACCCGAACAGAATTTCATTCCCTTTTAATTTCACTTTCAATCTTTAAACTCAATTTAAATTCCTCACACACAATTTTAAACCCGCCAGAGTTTTTTTTTTCATTTTTTTTATTTATCATTTATTTAATCAATAAAAACCAGATTGAGTAGAACTCGGATTAGAGTGTTTACACATCGCACATGCAAAAGCATATTTTTACATTAAGAATAATTCAAATAGGTAATATTTGTTTCCAAATGCATTGCCAATGTGTAGTTTTTATATTTCTTATCCTTTCACAAGAGCTGTGTTTTTTTGGTCCCTTCCCCAATATTTAGCTATCCCTGTCATTTTCTGCCCTTTTTTTTTCTAACACTGGTTAATTTCAAATTAAGGCCGAGGAATCATTGGTATTTGGCACCAAATAGCAATGGAATTTAGGGCAACCCAGTTTTCAGTATTGGTGAAAATGCATGCATGGACCATCAACCATAAAATATATAATAATACAGTTACAGCCTCAACCAATGGCTATTCTGCAAAAGCTGGATGGACCCAATATTTTGCATTCATGAATTAATGTTGTAATAATAATCTATGGACCTATATAGTTTTTTTTTTTTTTATTTACAAAGCCAGGACTTATAACTGCCCCTAGAAATTGACATTAAAAATTTTATTAATGATGCTTCCATTCAAGTTCCAACTAGGATCAAGCTATACTCTAATCATAATACATGCCTAAATAACGTTGTTGTTTTTTTTAGGGCTTATTAATGTAGGTAATGGATTAGACCCTACTTTATATTTTGATTTCTCGAATTTCATCTGTGCGAAAATTTTATTTTATAATTTTATATACGATTGTTTGATTTAGTTATATATACTCTTCGTGTATAACTCTAAATTAGTTGAAAACTAAATACAAGGAGGAAGCCATATAAAAGCAAATTCCGACCATTAATTTATTACAAAGACATTATAATATGTAATTAAATATTAAATAGTAGCTTTAAATTTTCATTCTAAATTTGGTGTAATCATTAACAAGTTTTCATATAAGAGTTAATAAATATATTATTTTAACAGTGAAGAAGTTCTTTCTTTTTTCATAAAATAAAAGCCAATTTATATTCAATAACAAAAAAAAAATTTCAAGTACAACCTTTAATAAATACAAGTTAATGTATACTAATAGAGAATATTTTAAATTTATTTAAAATTATTAATAATATTTAATTAACTATTATTTTAATGATATTAAAATTGTTTCTAAATGCAAATTCAAATAATAACTCAAAAGAAAAAATTTACAAAAAAGATATTGGCCCAATTGGTTTGGGCTACATGGCCCAATTAGTTTGGGCTTGAGGCTTAATTAAGTAAGCCATAGTGGGCCGGCGCCTCCCATGCGTGTCTAGGCCACCTGGCCATCAGTTTTTGAATTGATAAATATCCCGCTTTTCCCTTATTTTAAAAACCCTTCAAACGTTCTTTCTCTGACACCCATAGCCGTTAAAAAAAAAAAAAAAAGGCGAAAAGGCCAACGCTTGATTTTCACCGACACAGCCAAGGCAAGCCAAAACCCACAAAGAACAAGAAAAAGAAAGCAATTGCGACGAATACCGGAATGATGGATGGGACTTATTTCGTCGGTAGATCTGAGATTCTTGCTTGGATCAACTCCACTCTCCATCTTAGTCTCTCTAAAGTCGAAGAGGTTTCTTTCTTCTAATTTTTTTAGTTTTGATTTAATATAAAAGTAGAATTTTATGGGTTTGTTTTCCCGATCCGGTGCGTTTTCAGGCATGTTCCGGTGCCGTTCATTGCCAGCTAATGGATGCGGTTCATCCAGGAATAGTGCCGATGCACAAAGTCAACTTCGATGCCAAAAACGAATACGAGATGATCCAAAATTACAAAGTCCTCCAAGACGTCTTTAACAAACTCAAAATCGCCAAGGTTTTAATTTCAATTTTAATCTAATTTTGTTAATATTTCTTTTGTTCTTTGTGCTTTTGAATTTTGAATTTTGATTTAATTTTTTTGGCGGTTTTAGCATATTGAGGTGAGCAAGCTGGTGAAAGGTAGGCCGCTTGATAATCTGGAGTTCATCCAATGGATGAAAAGATACTGTGATTCGGTCAATGGTGGCGTTCTTCATAAGTAAATTTCTTTTAAACCCTAAATTTTCATTTTAATCAGTTCGATTCTCTCAATTGATTTTAGGTTTTCACAATTGAATTTCATGAAATTGATAGTATTATTTTATTTTTTAAATTTTAGTCAAGGGTTTCTCTTCCTGGTGTTTTTCTCCTTCGTTAAAGCTTTACATTTTCCTAGTAGCTGTTTATGAGTGGGTTTTTGCTGTTGGCATATTTAGTTACAATCCAGTGGAAAGAAGAGAGACTTGTAAAGGAGGAAAAGAAGCAGGCAAGAAATCAGCACCACAGCAATCCTCAACCAAGGGTTCAACTGCTGCTCCTAGACCTCCATCTTCCCATGCTCGAAGGAACAACAATGATGTTTCATCATCCGTGAACCCTTCCAGTCAATCAGCAAAGATTTCATTCAAACCATCGATAGCAACGGCTGCTTATGATGAAAAGGTACTTTATATTCAACGAATGAATTGATAGTATTATTGGTTTAGGAGTGTTCAGAAGAATCTAATGTCTTCTCCTGCACAATGTAGATAACAGAATTGAAGCTGTCTGTGGATAGTCTTGAGAAAGAGAGGGATTTCTACTTTGGAAAGTTGAGAGACATTGAGATTCTCTGCCAGAGTCCTGAAATTGAAGATTCACCGGTATTTTCTCCTTTGACAGTCAGATTTAGAATGGGAAAATGTTATTAGTAGTAAAAACGGTGGTTAAAATTGATTGTTTTAATCTATTACGACATGTTACTGCAGATTGTTGCAGCTATCCAAAGGATTTTATATGCTACAGATGGTGATGCATCAGTGGTGACTGAAGCTCAAGCCATGGTGTCTCTTCACCCCAAGGAAGCAGAGGCCTTGAGTCCAATTGCTGAGGTATCAGAAGAAAAAGCCAGTTCTGAAACCCAGAAGAGGAAAAACATTTTGAACATTGATGTTGATGCTGCTGGAATTACAACATTGTCTCCAAGGCAAAGGCTCTCCGATGCTTCTGATGTCCACTGCAGTTGGTCACCTCTTATGACTTACTGATCAGCAAGCAGCTGTAGACTTTTAAGTTCTGCTTGACAATACAGTTTTGTCAAATTTCCTTTGCCATATATATCTGCAGTTCTGTCTGTTGTTTCAATTATAGTCCAACCAATAGTGTTTAGCATAGGACATAATGGTCGTCACCTGAATTATTATCAATGTCTGTTCAGATTGCGTTGTGTATTTGGAAGACATGCTACTATATGTTTCCTTTCTGCTTCAGGAGGACAAACTTTATGATATAAAACATTTGCAGTTCACAATATGATTAAATATGATTTTGATGAACAACAGGTTAGCCTTTGGTCATATCCTTGCCAGTAACCCAGTTGGCCCAGCAGGTGACTGCTTAATTCAATGGACAAAAGTTGTGACAAGAGAAAGAAATCAAAGAGGATAGCTGGGGTGATAAAAGGAGAAAGAAATATATTGACAAGAAGAATATGTTAATGTGGGAAATTTGCAAGAACTTGCAAAAACAGAATAGTCTTGGATATGAGATATAAGAGGTTGACATGTGTTGGGTTCCCTTGATGTTAGGACCTCTTCTTCCGGCTGGAAAATGGTGTTGGAGACCAAGCATTCAACAGCCATGTCTCAATATAAATAGTAAATAAGGGATAGGGAGGTTTACTATTTATAGCATCTAATATATATTCTCCATCACTTATTAAAATCAAAATGAAAAATCTAAATTAAGAACTGTGACATTCAATATGAACATGCAATCCAGGAAGGTAATGTTTATTCATTTTCAGCTTCTCAATAATGTTGATCTTCTTGAATTGAGATTAAAAATTTTTGCTTTGAATAGGAGAGTGAGACCACCAATGCACAAGGTGAAGTTGAAAGAAAGGTGGAAACAGTGGACCATTCTTCATCAGCAGGGAAGGGCCAAGAGAAGAAGAGTGTGCAGGTGATTCACGTACATCCACAAAGCAACCAGAAGACCAGCGGGGGTGTCCTGACTGGTGCTGCTGCTGCTGCGGCCTTGACCCTGGAATCTGCAAAGGATGCAATATCTCGAAAGTAATGGAACGGTGCTCCACTAAAAATGACCTTATTGTCTTCATCTCTTAGAATTTTCATTTTTTGGGGATTATGTAATTTGTATAGGTGTTTTGTCTTGTAAGTACACTATGTGCTTAATTGTTGTCAAACACACAATGCGTTGTCTCCTTGATTAGAGATTGGTTACCATGACCTTTACATTGTTATGACAGCAACATCGGTCTTTTAGAAATGGCAGATTATTGATTTTCTACTTTTATAGCTATTCCTTTGCATTAGGGGTTTGAAAGTAAAAACAGGGCATAAGGAAAAGCTATTAAAAGTTCAGACTTGTCGATTTTTGCACTCTCAGTCTGCTTTTCCTAAAGGGAAATAAATAGATTTGTCAATACTTTCAGGTAAGGTGAGATCATAATCTCAACTCTGGCCAGATTTGTAAGTAGTTTCACCAAGTAAAAGAAAACAAAACATCCTTTGCATCTTCCTGGTGTGGTATCATAATTACAAAACAATGACAGCAGAACGTCCTTTACATTGTCAATGGACAAAGTCCGGTATAATTCTCCACTACCTGAAGATGTTATTGGGATAAGCACAGAAACAAAAAATTCCTTTGCTTTTACAGTTAACCGACCTCAGAATCCGTTTTCATTGGTGGATCCCATTATTCCATCTACATTCTCTTCTCTTTTCAACTTGGAAATTGAATTACAGCAATCTCCATTCTAAACAATCAATGGTTACAACTTCAAAGTTCATGCTCAAAATACAATTATCTGTTTGCACCTCAACCGAAAGCAAAACAAAGTTAGTTCCCTTTATTCTTCACCAATAGTCTTCTGAATCCTATTCTTTTTTCCTTTATGCCTCAGTATAGTTCTATCATTGCTTTTATAGCATCCACTATCCAAGCATATATTTCCCTTCAGTTTACCTCTTATCCCTCACCATCTAGAGTCACAACTTGTTTCTGCTCCAATTTTTCCAGGTCTGGGAACCAAGTTTTCATTGAAACAGGTTACGGTTTTCTTGGTATTTATCAGTGTTTTCTCTTCTTCTTCTTCTTCTTTTCGTTCTAGCCCGTTCTTTCATTTCAGTTAAAAATTAGCTTAAAGCAGTTGCAGCAATGGGAATGGCAATATCTAGATTGGTGAGGATGCTTTTTGCAAAGAAAGAAATGAGGATATTGATGGTGGGACTTGATGCTGCTGGCAAAACAACCATCCTCTACAAGTTGAAACTTGGAGAGATTGTTACTACCATACCAACCATTGGTATTAACCCTCCAATAACTCTCTACTTGCCCCATCTGTCCATCTACCTTTAAACTACTTGAACACTGAGTTTTAATTGAATTTTTATTAGATTTATAAATCCAAATTCAACCTGTTATTAGGTGCCTGTAATATATGTGTTTCTTTCCCAGGCAAGTGTGGTTGATCATCCATTTGTCATGCAATTTTCCAAATTAATTTCGCGAAAGTTCCTGAAATTTCAATTGATCTCTTTTTCACGTGGTTGATCATTCGTTCAAGCATGAGAATTGAGAAAACCTCATCAAATAACCTTGTTTCCAACAGAAACTGAAAGTACAGATTACTAACTGGGATTTTTGCTAATCCAGGATTTAATGTTGAAACTGTTGAGTACAAAAATGTTAGCTTCACTGTGTGGGATGTTGGAGGACAAGATAAGGTAATAAGCAATCCCATCTCCCTATCAGCCAATACCTTACAATTAAAGAGTAACTATTTTATACTTTGCTTTATAGATACGACCCCTATGGAGACACTACTTTCAGAACACTCAGGGCCTGATTTTTGTGGTGGATAGTAATGACAGAGAAAGAACATCAGAAGCCAGGGATGAGCTTCACAGGATGCTAAGCGAGGTCGATAATTTCTATGAACTATGTGAATTCATTTACAAGTTTGTTCTTTCTGGGGCTAGTTCTATTAGAAAATCCTGATGGAATGTCATTCAGAGTATCAATCTCACCAAGCTGGCATTAAATTTCTCACTTAAATTTGAGAATGTTGTAATCTGTTGTGTGCTGTTTAGATTTGAAGTGTGCCACAGGCTCAATTCTTTTGGGTCCTTCTTTTTGCAGGATGAACTACGCGATGCAACCCTACTTGTCTTCGCTAACAAACAAGATCTTCCAAATGCCATGACTGTTTCTGAAATCACTGATAAACTTGGCTTGCATTCACTTCGCCAACGCCGTTGGTAAATTATAATGTTAAATAACTCAATAGTCTATGCTTTATACTTATATTTCACCAACTAACGGAGCCCAAATTTTGCTCATTTTTACCCTCAAACTATGAAGAAAATTAGAACCTGACACCATTTAAAAAGACAGAGGTAGTACTAAAAGCTGATATTAGAATTTTTACTTTTCTCTAGTAATTGGCATTTTTGGAAACTGCTATAGGTACATCCAGGCTACTTGTGCCACCTCCGGCCAAGGACTTTACGAAGGTCTTGATTGGCTATCCAGCAATATCTCTAGCAAGGCAAGATCAACCAAGCTTCTTTCATTAAACTAATCAACTTCAATGACCTAATTAAATCGATTTTCTTTCTTTTGCTTACAGGCATAATCCAGCCAGCCCTTCTTTCAATATAGAAAGTCATCTACTCCCAAAGAAAGCCTTGAAAATACCGGGAATGAAGAACGTGTAACTAAATTTTCATTATTAAGTAGATTTTGAACCACTTTTATGATTAAGAGACTCTAATATATATGTATGATACACCATAAAGAAATGTTTGTGGGTGGATCGATAAAGTAGATTCAGTAGTGGATAACTCTCATTTTGTACTATCAACCATAGAAATAAATGTAAGAATACTTAATTTGTTGTCAGTTTTACATTTTAGTATTCATGAATAGCTAACAGTTTCGGAGGGTATATAAGGTCAACATTCCAAAGTCATAAAAGTATTTGGTACTAGCCAGAGAAGAGAATTACATGTTGTTGTTATAACAAAAATGTTAAACGTCTGGATTTGAAGTATGTGTTCAATCCATTCAGGGATTTCTGGCATTTTGGTCAGAGTCTGTAACATTTTACAAAAAAGCAAGTAAATGGATCCAAATCCTGGAAAGGATTACCTGATGTAGTTTGAGAGCCATGAGCCATCTCAAGGTTAAAAAGGGGCTAAGCATGGTGGGTTTCATGAGATCATGTTAAAAGTCTGGATTTTATGTGTTCCATCAGCTCAAGGGCTTAGGTTAAGCTGCACAAAACTCCATTATAAGCAGCCTCCATTTTTCTCTATGAATTTATTACTTCATATTATGCCCTTACGGCTGTTTAATCTATGAGCTACGCAATGGAAAGTAACTTTCTCGGGTTTTGTTTTCCCTCTAGTACTTTTACCTATGTATTCTTACTGTAGATTTTCTACCCCTTTAATTTAATCAGCTTAGGCTAATCATTAAACTCATAATACTTCTTTACTGAATGTCAGATTTTTTTTTACATGGTGGAAAATTTTCTTCATTTTTCTGGCATACCGCATATGGAGCTTTGACCACTGTTTGGTTGTCTAGCAACCTGAAGGAGACACACAGAATTCAGTATTTTCAAGCTATGTCAAATGAAGTTCATGAATCCAGCTTTGCAAAATTATACGTTTTATGGTGTTTTCCATGTTAGGTGGATGTGGGGGAACTCTGTTTCAAGTTTATAAGACTTTTGGCTGAAATTTGATGACTATGTAAGGTCTGGAAGTCCTGGTGCCATCAATTTCTGCGTTTTTTTTTTTTTTTCCGTAAGGTGCGATCACTGTTCATAAAGTTTATGAATGTAAAAAAAAAATCAAGTCTGCAATGTTACTTTTGAGCCAGAAATGCCTTCTCTACAGTTTGCAAATTTTTTTATTCAGCAAGGCTTAGAAAAAACTGTCAATTCAGTAGGATAATGAGCTGAAGATCTTTTAGAAGCTGTCGATATAAACAGTTAATATGCTTCTACAATGCTGTCTAAATGAATATATACATATTCTTTATTCTAACAAGATATTAGTGGCTGAGAACTTGGCTGTTACCTGGAGTCGGCTTCAGAGCTGAAAGTTTTGAGTTCGAACCTTGGTTGTAGCTTAAAGGACAACAAAAAAAAATCGAATTCCTGTTCAAACAACTTGGCTATGATGTAGATAGGCATAAACTTCTCAAAGCAAGGACGGGATTGATTAGAACCTAAAGATGTCCATCACAGAAAGCAAAATGTCGGCAAATATAACTCATAAATTCTTACCAAACTACAGAAAATGTGTTAGTTGTTTTGAAATTATGCCTATGGTTGTACATTTTGTCTGTTTTCTTTTAAGAAAATTCAGTGACTTGAGCTGCCACATTTATAAAGCAGTAATAACCTCTACCTAGTTTAGAACAATATCTCAAATTCAAGCGCTATTGAACTCTTTTTTCATAAGTTTGAAGGGTCAATCTGTTGCAGCAGGTAAAAGTGAAACTTTAATTATTTCGGGACATAAGTCCTTGTTTTAGCAGAGATGAGGTTTGCTTGCTGTACTTGATGAGTCCTCTGGCAATCCTTAAAAGACGCTGCCATTTCTACCTTTGAAAACAATCATCTAGTCCATCAATGTTAGTTGTTCCCCTGGCACTTGGATGATCTGGAAAGATCAATTTGAAAATGTTTTTATTGACTTTTGACTTATATCCATTTGCCTTGTTTAACAACTGGAATGACTGGAAACAATTATCTAAATTTCTTTCTTATCAATTTCAACCGTCTGACTTTCTATTCTCAGATTTAACACCTAGAAGAAACAATGGAGTACTAAACTCTTTTTTTTTTTTTTTCTGACAATATCCCCTTAAAATAATTTAATGGCAAGCTTTTCCTGCCTGTTTTCAACTACTCCTCAACTCTGGTCTTTCACATGCGTACTAGTTACTCCACTGCTCTATCATTTCCTTCTTTAACTTGTTGTGGATCCAATCCTCCCCTCCTTCCCTCTTTCTTTTTCCTTTTCCTTCGTACCATCATTGTCAAACCAGAAGGACAAAATATAGTTACCATAAAGGATAAACAAATAGCTTTTCCATTTTTTTTAAGCTTTTCTTTCCATTATGTATTTGAAAAATCAATTATAGCGACCAAATCTCATTGCTTGAATTGTGATTCGTAAAGTTTAAAAACTCCAAAGACAGTATATAAAAAAAAAATGAACCCTAACAAGAACTAATCTACTTATCAACTTAGTTAACCCTATGACATCTAAACGTTGCTTGATTTTATCAGTTAATATATGAGAAACTTGGTGAGATAGAACAAATTTGACTATCAGATACTTGGGAAATTTTCTCTATGGCTTTGTCAGTTAAATCAGGGATGATCTTTTTACAAGGAAGAAGCTAAACCCTTGAAATCATTGTCCTAGAAGTTGGAAGTACCGTAATCTTTGCCTGTGAACATAAACATGATGTGATTCAGTCATGAGATGGCACATCATCGATGCTTGCATATCGGGACAGTACCAAAAGGACCAAAATTGCAGAGCCTTCCCATCAGCACTTACGACAATAGCCATACATCATGTTCAAGTTGTATTCACATATATAATAGTATAACATAATTTCTGGTTTCTGAAACTCAATTATGAAGTTCTTACATAAATGTAGCACCTAAACTTGGAACCGAGCCATGCACATTGCAGCATAATCTATTATTAACAAAGGAAATATAGGTTTTTTTTCTTTTAATGACTTGAATTATATATACCCTTCTACCCTTTAGCCTTCAAGGTTTAAGGTTCAAGGCCATGGCCTCTAAAATTATAATTCTAGAGCTACCTTGAATCAGAAACTACAAAGTCTCTAAAGAGACATCCCAGCGATTAAAGCTTAAAAGTTCAAAGATTTCGAGTTCAAGTACTGAGATGTACGAGATAAAATTTATAGAATGAAAGAAGATTACCTTCTATTGTCTTCTATTGTGTAGTAATATCAAATATAGCAAAAAAGAAAATGCGATTGGTGAGCAGAGAACATGAAATGGACATCATAGGACAAGATAGAGAAAAGGGGAAAGAACTTTTTTTTCCCCTTATGAAATCAAAATAATATATTGGAACAATAACGAAAATCTGCTTGACTGCAAAAGAAAATGTTTTGGAAGTAATTATAATATATGTCGAGAGTTATTAATAGTGGGGTCAACTCCATAGCTGTTCCAATTAACAATTCTCCAATGGGAAAAGAAAATGAATTCCTCTAACAAAGTATGACCAGAAATTGAAGGCGGTGATAAATGCAAGACTGTCGTAAAAAAAAGCCAATGAAGGACCACAAACAAGCACAGAGACATTCTGAAAAATGAAAAGATTGCACATCTATTTATTGATTCATTGCCCCACCCTTCTCCATATCTCCACTTTCTTCACCCACAAGCTTTTCAAGTTTGCTTGGCTTGAAGTACCAAGCTGCACCATGAGAACCTATTTTCATTGTCCTTTCTTGCACTTGGGACGCAAATTACCCTCAACGCTTTCTGATGGCTGATGCTAATGTTCGAAGTCAAAATGATACCGGAAAACAGTTCATTCTTCCTAACCTAGCTATTTGATGTTTGCCAAAAGATTCTTTATGCATATGAGATATGACAACACTTATGAAACATGGGAAATCAACATAGTGAATTACCTCCAAATGTAGTTTGAATATGATTTAGCTCACGGAAATTTTTTAGTAGTGTGATAACATAATCATTGCTAAAATGCTATGCATAACCAATTTGATTATCGCGAGGACAATTATGAATAACATGATTTTAGCACTGCTGCCATCTGGAACTTTAGAACAGATTTACTAAACATTAGTGCATTCAAAGTTGTTCTTAAATCATAATGTCTATGTCTTGAGCTTTTACATATAATTATGTATTGAGCTAGCTCTTTCTTCAGTATTTAATATCAGCAAATCCAAGAACATACCACCACAAACTTCAGAATGACAAAGGAAGAAAGTTGTTCAAATGAAAAGGTCCCAAGAGACACAAACAGGGAAAAAGCAGTCACAATAGATAATAAGGCCATATGACAGCTATTGTTTTCGCCAATAAAAGATATCAAAATCATTAAGAAAAAAGATGGTTATGGACTTAATGGTTATGGACTTAAAAGGTTAAATCTTTGGCAGAGCACAACTTGTCATAATGCAAAACTTAAGGTTAATAGGGTCCGACTGTTCAAACATAAAAGATTCCTTGATCACACCAATAAATATCAATACCTATGAGTACAATTATATTATAAGTTCATCACAAAAGAAATTTGTTTATTACTTTGAAAACTAGCGGAATTTCTGCTATATAGTAAGTAGTATTATTTTAGGCAGAGAAAAATCACTCCTGAGAAGGCACGAAAATTGCCTGCAAGTGGAAATTTGGTTGTTGTTCTCTAGGGACTTATGCTGTTCTGTTTGACCTTGTTGAAAGAACTCTCCGATTTTAAAATAGTAAATCTAGGGGGATCCAGTATCCCAAATTCCGAATTGATCATTATTTGTCTATCTCGTTTTAATAAAACAGTAAAAATGTACAAGCATTCATCTACCGAAAATGCACATAAGTCAACAATTTGTTCTTTCAAGACACAGTTTGACTTTGGTTGCCTACCTTGATCTTAGTTCTACTTTCACCTGAATTATAAGATAAATGACCAAAAATAATATGGATGTATGCAGATAAGGAGGCTGCCCGGGACATATGTTCATTCACAACCATACATTAGAAGAATAAGAAACCATAGCACAATGTGGCACCCATGTCAAGTTGCCAATCCCAGGAAAAAAAACCATCCGTCTGTTCTCATTGGCAAACTCCCAACTGACCTTTAAAGTTGAATCAAAGTGGAATTTAGCAGATATGAATCCACATCTGATCCATGTTAGCAAATTTGGCCATAAAGGCAACAATAAGTTATGAAACACATATTGATTGCACATTAAGAACAAATACTGCCAACAATATGCAAATGAGGAACTGCAGAATAACATGTTTAATAGTACTAGTTATTATGAGAAGGAAAGATTAACGAGGGCTACTAAGCACATCCACAAACATACGATTTAGTGAAGGTAGCCGCATTTGCTGTTCCTGAGCTCTACTCCTTTTGAGCAGTGGTTGTGGTGATGATGAGACCGAAGATGCCACAGCCCACGAATCATCTGAGCTATCACAGCTAAGAGATGCATCAATGACACCATTAGGGCTGCTTGGTATGGATCTATGCTTCCGTTTGTGGCATTGGTTTCCTTTGTACTGGCTTTCCAATAACTCTAAGATGATCTTGTAGCACGCATTTACTTTATCCTGTTGAAACAAAACCACAATTAACTAATGGACAATCAACTTCCCATGTAGTTATGAAAAGCAAGAGGTAAGATAATTTAAAAACAGAGCACCCTATAATTGTATACAAACCTCACATATCTTGAGTATTCCAATAAGCTGTTTCTGATATTCAAGATAACGGCAAGGTTCGACCTCTTTAATAACATGCAGCATTGTTGCAGCAGCTAAGATAGAAGGAGTATAAAGCATGAACCTCGAATCTGGATCAAAATTGAATTGGAAATCTAAGATTAGAATTCAAGAAGAATAGTAAAAAATGCACATTTTCTTCTTAATACAAGAAGTCTGAAAAAAAAATATAAAGCTTTTTTATTAGCAATGAAAACAAAAGCTGTTTTGACTACTTACCAGTAATGAGAAAGAGAAGCAAACGCTCACACCTACGAAGGAACTCCCAATGCAAATGGGTCCTCAATCCAAGCCTCCTTGTAATGTGATCAAAGAAGGAAATTGCTGTCACGGGATTCATCCTCCATTGCAGAGTTGACAACACCAAAAGCTCCATTCTTTGTATGGTCTTTGAATCAAACACATACTTTGATTCCTCCACCTAAAGAAAGAAAAAAGAATCACAAAAATCCAGCTTTAATAACTCAATAACAAGTTCAGAAACTCAAATTTTACAAACAAACAAACAAACTTGGACTACATTCTTGCTTGCATTAGACACATACTTGAAGGTCTAAAAGAAGTGGCACTTGAGTTTCCCCGACCTTGGCAGCCAAAGACAAACAAGCGACAGCAGCTAATTGCCCCATCCATGGCTTGTCTTTTTGAAACTTTAAGCTTGAAATGAACCTATCAAAGTAATTCACAGCGAGAACTATGGTCAAAGCATTGAACCCATAGTGTGCCTTAACCTTGAAAATCCACTCCAAAGCTTCTTTACGAGCCAAAACTAAAGACTCATCTGAGTAAACATCAATGCAACCAAGATGGGTTTCTTTCTCTTTAGACATTAAAGAGAGTAACTCATCATCTTCCCAGAACAAGTCATGTTGAAAAAAAAATAAAGGTAAAAATGTCTCCTTTTTCACAGTTTCACCACAAACTTCACTTCCATTTTCTTCAAAACTATAATCTCCTAATCCTTCTTCTTCACATAACAGCCCATCAAGAATCAATGGTGGGCTTTGAAACTGTTGAGTCTCTTCTGCTTGCAGAGCCATAGCTTTCAAATAAGAAAATGAATTCTCCTTTCATTATAATAATAATTCAATAAAAAACATACTCAATCTCATTTTCACTCTTACATCAACTTCCCCTACTCTTGTTACTGGGTATATTACCCTGCAAGTAAGAGGAGGATGAAGATAGAGAAATTTAAATATAATAATAAAAAAAAAAGATAGAAAGAGAAAGACAAATAAAGTAATTGCTTGCTGGGTTTTATCTGAGAAACCTTTCACGCTTGACCCCTTTTTACCCTCTTCCATTTTTTTCCTTTTCTTTATTTCCTTTTCTTTTCTTTTCTTTTTTTCCTTTTTTAATATTATAATAAAAGAATTGAGTTACTTGGGGGGAAGCTGGTTGCAGATTTGGCGCCCAGTAAAACTATTTAGGACAGCAGAGCATATTCCTCGAGTTTTTCCATGAAAATGAAAATCTATTTATGATAAATAAATTTATAAAAAAAAAAAAAAAAAAAAAGAAAGTATCTGTGCACGCTGCTGGTTAAAGCTTTTTATAAAGACAGAAAAAAGAAAAGGAAACCCCTGAATCTGATACGTATTTGATTTGAGCCCATACGTATTGGGAATTTCTCGTACATCACCTCGACAGACAGCGTATCATGATTTCGCCAGTTCTGTAACTTTGTTCCAAAACCACTCTCACACCAATTCTCGTGAAGGACACACACTTTTAACATCAGCTGGATTTCAAGGGGCAGTTGCTGAAAGTGAGCCCACGCGCTGATTATTGAGGGGTTTTTTAAATTTACCGGGGGCATAAAAGCGTTGACCGCTCAAAACAGGGATTTGTCATGTTGGGAGTTCAAAAGGCTCGATTTTTTTTTAATTTAAACTAAAATAAAAAATTTGGTTAGATTTTATTGTTTTATTTAATAAAATTTTTACATATTTAAATAATTATTAATCTTTAATTTATATTTTATATCTAAATAAATCATTAATTTTTAATTTATACTTAAATGAATTTTTAAAATAAATTAATTTTTTATTTGAAACAAAGATTTATTTAAATAATAAATTAAATGATAAAAATTTATTTACGTATGATAAAAATGTAAAAATTTAATTAAAAATAATTTAAGGATTTTTCTACTTTTAACCTTTTAATTTTAGTACGAAAGAATTTGAGTGGTTATGTTTGAAATGTCAACCTCGGCATCGTGGTCTAAATTTGATTGGACACGTGGACCAGTTAAATTTGTGTTTCGGCCGGTGGATTTCATATAAACAGTTGGAAGTTAGGTCGGAGATTATTTATAAACGTTGATGGTATGATTTGACATTGGAAAAATGTTTATCGTTACATATAAATTTTAAAATTTTTTAGGGTGATATTTAAATTATTATTTATTAAGTAAAATGTTATTATTTTTAATGTGATCAGTGGTGAAAAAATTAAGAATTAATTTTAAATTATAGTGTTTGATTTGATTTTTTAAATTTGGATTAAACTTAAATATTAAATATATATTAAATTCAAATTAAATTTTGGATCGAAATGTAAAAATTTGAAAAAAATAAATTAAATTATAAATTTTATTAGTTTTATATATTTTTTAAATTTTTATAAAATAAAAATAATTATTTTATATATAAATTTATTTAAATATATTAATTTTATATTAAAATAATATATAAAATACAAAATAAATTTTTAAAAAATCAATAAACCAAACCAATAGAATTCGGTTTGAATCAATTTTAAAGGAACGTCGATTTAAATTTGAATTGAATTTTAAAAATTTATAATAATGCATTAACTAAAAAAATCAAACCAAATATAATCCAATCTAAATTATTATTATCTTAATACGTAATGAATAAATAATTTTTTATATATTATATTAATTAACATATTTATAATTTAAATATCATATTAAAATATTTTAAAATTTAATTATTATAATAAATATTTAACTATAATTTAAAATTTATTCATAATAATATCTTTATTTAAAATATTAACTGATGTTGATTCAAGCAACAAAAGAATTTGTTAGTTTTGCACAACTCAAATCCGAATTTCTCATAGGCACATAAAAGATAATTTTTTATAAATTTATTAAGTTTGATGTAAATAAATTTAAAAATATATTGGTGGAAATTTTAAGTTTTTAAAATTTTTTACTGCTCAACCATTAAAATGATAGTATTTAAAATAATTTTATGATTTTCTTTTTTTTTTATGTTACGGATGTTTCTATGATGGTTTATATATATATATATATATATATATATATGCATAATAAATTTTTTTTTTGTGAGAACAAAAAATCTCGCATGAAATCAAGCCATCTCTTTTTGAGAAGTACGTAGTATAAAGCTGGAACAAAGTATGGTCACACTGCAATTGATGGAACATCAAATCAAATAACCTTATAGACAATTTACATGATATTAATCCGATTACATACATGTTATAGTCATTATCCTATTTGAAATTGTTTCATGTAATGCACATTTGCGAATGAATTATTCTTTGATAAACTAAAGCAAGCCATGCATCCATCTATATGTTATGCACCTTACTATTAAACAATTATTATAAATCTCATTTTTTCGGTTTCAAAATTTGAAACTTTTGTATTTATCTTATAATAAGATAAGTTAATGTTATAAATGACTCATAATTATATTAAAATATTTAATGTAGTATATGAATTTTAAAAATCTCTAATTTAATTCGTTGAACTATGAATTTGTTTAATAATATGATATTTTAAAAATTATTTGTGCGTTATATATCGTTATTTAAATCTAATCAAAATAATGGTACGTATTATATTAATTAATAAATTTATAATTTACATATCATATTAAAAAATTTTAAAATTTAGATATACATTGAATATGTAATTAATGTTCAAAAACTACTCATAATATTAATCCTAATGAAAGAAAAATTAAAATCTAATTTTTGAACAATAAAAACAATCGCTTTGAAAATTACTATAATAACTCTTTATTTGTTTGATATGTTATTAACACGTCCAAATCCATTATAATGCCCTTCTACCATATTTATAGAAATGCCTCTCTTCTCATAAATAGTCATAATCACTATAATACAATTTATCATAATTATAAAAATGTCATTCTACCATAATTAGCAAATTATTATAATCAATCTCTTAATATAATTACGAAAATACTCTTCTTATCATAATTAATCATAATTATTAAAATACATTTCTCATCATAATTATAAAATTGCTCTTACTATCATAATTGATCAAAAATTATTATAATATTTCTTATTGCATAATTACATAAATGCTTTTAGGAGCACTTCATAAAAAGTTGATACGTGATATTTTGTTTTTAAATTATTATAATATTTTTATTAAGTTATATATTAAAAATTTTAAAATAATATAAAATTAAATACATATTAAATTATTAAAACACTATTGCCATTGCTTTGTATAAATTTGACATTTGGTATTTTATTTGAAAAATACTATAATATCCCTATTAAATTATATATAAAATCTTACCATAATATCAAATCAATTACATATGAAATTACTAAAATACACTTATAATCACTTTATGAAATTTTGACATGTGCTATTTTACGAAAACTACTAAAATACACCTATGAAGTTACATATTAAATTAACTATATAAAACTTAACTACATATTAATTTATTATAATAAAAAATTAAAAATAAAGCTATAAAAATAAATATATAAAGACATAACAAAAATTAAATTAATTTTTATCTTATTTTAAATATATTTACAAACTGTATTTATAAATTACAATAAATTAAAACTCATATATTTAATGAAATGATTAATAAAAATACAACGTTCAAATATAATATAAAGAATTAATAAAAAAACTATAATTGTAATATGTGAAATGTTATGTATAATAATTTAAATATTTTTATTTATTTTATTATTTATTATTTTTATTAAAATAATATAACATATTTAAAATAATAAAATTTTTAACTGAAAAATAATTTATTCCAAGTAGTTACTTCTAGTAGATTAATTATTTATTACCAGAAAAAGAAGATCTCTTGACGTGTAAATCACGAGACGATTATGCCATCGGTAATAGTTAACTAATAGGCAGAAGGTACAGAAAAGCGACAACTCATAAGAGAAAGAAGACAAGGCGCGCATCGAAACAGACGAGCCCAAACCAGGCAAGGGCAGGGGCAGGGCCAGGGCGGCAAAGCCCCCAAGAGCCAGGCCAAGATGGCGAAACTCTTTTAAATTCTCTAATAATTATTGGTACGTTGCCATCATGTCTGCCAGAAAACACGCCCTTTCTGCTTCTTTCATTTGGTAGCCCTTCCCTATCATTTTTAGGACAAATGCTAATAACCGCTTTCTCAAATTCTTCTTACCAATCTCAAATTATTGCTACATTTTTTTTTTACCTAAATGTCCTTTTTCACATTAGAGGTTCATAAATAAATGCCGTTGGACAGAAGAATATTACTATAATAAGATTATTCATGAATTATTAGTTTTTTTTTTTTTTTACAAAAGTAAGAACAATATGCCTTAAGAACAGTTTTTTTCTTGACCCGGGTAATAAGATTTCCAAAACCCAGTTTGATTTATTTATTTATTTACTAAATATCAATTATCATATATACTTGTTTTGCGTGGGGTATTGAAATTTCCTGGTGAGAAAAGTTGGGAAAATAATGAATAAATGCCAAGCATAACTACTGTACCTAAAGCTAAAATTAAATTTATATAGAGACAATAATGAAATATGGGTGAGCTAGTTGAATAGTATTTCCATTGCATTATTTCGATTAGGCTTTATGTAATTTTAAGCAAGAAATTTTCATTTCTTACCCTTTTCAAAAGTAGAGTGCACTAATTGCAGTTGTGTTTGTGAAGGGAAAGTAAAAAAAAAAAAGAACTCTTCCTTCAGTTTCCAATTGCGTCTTGGAAGGTACAAATTAATTAATTTTTTTTTATTTATGTGTGTGATTTAAATTTATCATTAATGTTTTAATTAGTGTAATTTAATTATTATATTTTTAATTTTGAAACAAATTTATCATCATACTTCAAATTATGAATCAATAAAAAAAATTCATAAGAAACTTTAATAGAAACTGTATTATGGTTAAAAAAATATGGTAGGAAAACAAATCCGAACCAACTAAAAATTTATGATATGGTATTGTATGCAATAGAAAATTTATTATGAAATAAAAAATAAAAAGAAAATACCTGATTATGTGATATTATATTTAGTAAAAAATATTATGATAATAGAAAAAAACAAATAAAATAAAATTTTAAATAGAGTGGATGAAACCAATAATTTCTTACATCAATGTTTTTATTTTGAAAATTTTCTCTAATTTGACCGGTAATTCAATTATGACTCATAAAAATCAAAATAATTTTCATCATTGTCCTTCGTTCTACAATCCTTAACATCATTATTGTCATTATCAACACTATTTTTCAATAGGATGATTATCGATCTTTGAGATTTTGCATGTAAAGATGGATG